CACCATACCTGTAAGTTCTCCAGCTGACAACACAATAAGGAATCAAAAAATGAACTCTGATTTTTCTCCAGGACTCTACAGTTCCCTGCATAGAAATGGGTCAATTAGGGATCAACAGGCCTTCTAAAGCACAGCGTAATGGATTGGAAAAAGTCTAGGGTAGAAGTCAATTAATCTAGAATTTTTCTTTTCTAATCTCTTCCACTTGGTATAATATTATGAGTGTAGCCGTTGCAGTCAGATAGGCATTCCTGATTGTACTGCATTGGACAAGTTATGTGGCCACTCTAAACCTCAGATTCACCATTTGTAAAATAGAATTCTGTAGACATGTGGAAATATCTCTCTACAATTACTTTCCCTAGGCAGTGGTGTGGTTAGTTGGACAGCTCTCCACTGATAGTCCCAGAAGACTTCAATTGATACTCACATCCTTGAAGTAACTGGCACAGTACAGGAATTTCGTAGTTAACATGTCTAAAGTTTCATCAAATGAAACCTTTTGGAGATCTTGGCAAGTTTTTGCTTAAGCTAGGAATTTCCTGATCCCACAGAGATAACTGGCAAAGGCAGAGATATCAGCTCACACTTAAAAAAAAAAAGTGGCTTGACATTGTAAAGTCACCTGGGAAAATGCTAATACACGATAAAGTTAATTTGCTCAAGGTGGGTAATTGTTGTCAATACAGATTGGTAAACTTATTGGATTTTTAAAAATAATTTAAGTAGGAGACTATTTCAGCTCCTTCATTGGAATATTCGATTTGTTCTTCAGGATTAAAGAGGCAGCTATGTCCTAATGTTCATTCAATTTTAGGATAACCACAAGGTTTCATGAATGTGAAATGCTAGTTACACAAATATGAAATGGTTCTGTGATGAGGATACTGGGTAAATGACAGTCCCAAAGGCATTTCACCTGGGACCTTAGCTTTCCTTCTAGAACATCAGCAAACAGTTCAAAATTAATGTAGCACACCATGCAATTTGCCATATCGCTACTGTAGTCTGATAATTTTTTCCTCATTACATAAAACCTAATTAGTTAAAGGGCAATTCAAATGAAACTTTTATTTGAGGGATTTAGAAGTATTAAAGCAAAGGGGAAAAAAACCCAAACAAACACTGCAGCTCTCTGTATAACATGAATGCGATTATTAATAACCCTTGGGTGGGAAAATGATTAACCTTGTTATTTTCTTCACGATCCAGGTTTCTACAATAAATCAGTACTGCACAAAAATATTTGGATGCTGTATGGAAAACAACTTTCACGAGGTCTCCAACTGGCATAAAATGTTTTCAAGTATGAAAACATCTCTGGGCTTCCTCAACCGGCTGATAGATCCCTGCAGGTAGCACTTCCCTTGTTTAATGGTCTTGCCAATTAAATCAAATTAGAGATGATTTTTTAACTCTGTGATGAAGGCAATGTTTATTATAAGATAAAACAGGACAATTTGCTATTTCCCTTAAGTGAACTGTTGTTTTAAATTGAATAAGTTAGGGGTGGGGGATAGGAGAGGAATAGCCAAACACCTTCCTCAGTGTTCTATGCTTCATATAACATCATGCCAGTCATTTAAAAGTAATTTAAGGAAATAATCTAGAGTCAGGTTCACAAAATGTTTACATCTCTCTTTTCTTTTGTTTGTATTATTAAAAAAATTCTATTTATTTCAAAACTCCAAGAGTTTGAAATGGTCTTCCTTGATGTGATCTTCGTTTTGTGGATGGTTTAACTTTAACCTCTGACTTAACTGTCATTCGCTTTGGTAAGAAGTGATAATCACCCACACAAATGTATTTGCACATTAGGCCAATTCTTGCGGGTCTAATTATGCCCTTTATAATATAACGTTTAACACAATTTGTCTAATCATTTGCTTTTCAGGACCAAAGATCAGATGATATATATTAGAAGGTAATGATCAATTTATGACTTGAATAAAAACACCCACACCAAGCCAACTATTACTTTGGATTATCAGCAGCAACAAATGTTCACTTGGATAGAATCATGAATTTTACTTACACGTGCATAATACACTTTATTAAAAAATGCAATCTGAAGAAATTCCTACCACATCAGGTAAAGTGAAAACATAGATCATAAGGCTCAAAGGCTAGAGATTTATTTTGGGATTCATTAATTGCTGACAATATCACCAGTATTTTTTCAGCCATGGCCAAAGCAGATCAGAATGACTGAGTTCTAAGTCAAGTATCCTTAGGATTATTGGGAAACCTATTTGTTAATAGATAGACAACAGCAGGTACGAATGATCTTAATGGGAAATTTGTTTCAAAAACATTTTTAGCAGATGATCGGAAAGGATGACCACTCTGTCCATGCATTTGAACCTTAATACAGGTGTTGGCATTTTGAGATCCCTACTGAAATTTGTTAGGGCTCCAAAACCTTTAATCACTGTGTATACAGAATATGTATGTAAACCGATGGTTATATACGTCAATAATCTACATTGATAATATACATCATTTATTTTCCTTGAGATATGCTGTGATAATTGGGGTCTCATGGGTGTTACATCTATTATAATGGTATCTTTCTATATAGTTAGTGGAATTGTAGTCATTGATTCCTTCTTTGGGGTAATGCAAAAAGCTCTGGCTAACACCCATAACTTAGCTAAATATCCAAACAGCTTCCTTTTCTCTGGCTTGCACCTTGAAAACCCCATTCCTGTGCCCTCTGGAACAGGCAGTGTCATCTACGTGTGAATTCTTGGCCTTTGGAGAGGAAAGGAATCCACGAGTGCACACAACAAGCACCTTATAAGCCCACAAAGAAGGAACTTTCAAATGCCATTAAAGCAGCCTAGAAGATACAATCACGTTTGATGGTTTTACTGTAACTCTCTTCACCTTAAAAGCCAGGCAACAGGTAAGCTAGTCATGTGTGATGTTGAGTGACCTCTGGAAGATCTTACATCTTGCTTGCTGGAAATCTGAGAAAATACCCATTGCATTCTAAGCAGAACAGCCAGAGGCATATTGAAGGGAGGGTCCAAAATATCACTTTTAGTCAGAGGGTTTTTATTAGGAGTCAATTTTCCTAGGTTCTTGATAATAAAGGCTAATATATTTTTTCAAAGGCACAACGAAGCATCCTTTCAGGTCACCACTGATTTCAATATAAAACAAAACAGAAATTTCTGATTCGGTGTGTAAAAGGTCAACATCTGCTGATGCTCAGAGATGGGGGATGTGGTGGAGGCGGCCGAATGGGATGTCGAGTGAGCAGTACAGTTAGAGGGGCCATGCAACATACAACTGACACTCCAAACAGGAAGACACCCCAACGCCAAAGAACTACTTTTCCATCCATCCATTTCTGAAACTTCTGACAGGCCAGATCACTATAGCAGCCTCAATAAATAATCTGTGTCAGCTTGCTTCTGCTTGCTTCCCTGTTGCACTAAAATGCACGTGCAAATGCAATTGTCAAGGCCTGAAAGGAGCACATTGTGGGGTATATATACAGTTAGGCAAATGCCAAGGGGGATACTAAAGCAGAAAAATTAGACTATTAGAACTGAAGGTTTTCATTTGCAAGTTTGTAACACTGATGCTGTTTCAACAAGATCACAAAGAGGATGCTGTAACATTAGGCTGGTTCACATTTCTAAATGGATGTGAACACTGCTTCTATTTACAAAGTGGCCAATTTTCATGACATTTACCACATCTAGTGCTTAACAAATCAGTGTCCAGGCCTATTTACAAGCTCAAGTAAACTGGGTTGATTTATAAATTGGGAGACCTGACTGTGCATTTATAAGAAGCAGGAAGTTGCTTTATCCAAATTATCAGAGTATTGCTTTTTAGATGGATGCTGGGAATCGCAATTATTCCATGGCTACTTACACTGCGATCACCCTGCCTGGCACAGCACCTATGACACAAGCCTGTGAGGGGGTGACACTACAGTGAAAATTCTCTCCGCCCATGCATAATCTTGCTTCCTCAGTAATTTGTTTCTAATCAGTTACTTAGTAGTTGCTCAAAGATTTTAGCCATTAGAGATAAAGGGTGCAATATATAAAAATATGTAAAAATTTGCTCTGTAAAGCTACTGGGCATTTTCTTAATGCAAATTTCAGGCTTGGCATGAGGGCACCATTATTTCACACATGAAGTGGGAGCTACACCTGGTTCTCCCATGATAGCTGGAAGAAAGTTCTTTGTAGTGATACTGGAGAAGTGTTCTATAGATGGTTGAAGAGGGGTTTATCTTCAATTGCTTAGATTCATACTAACAGATTTATGAAAGGAATCTGTAGTACTCTCACTCCCAAATTCTGCACATATTTTTTTATACTCTTTCTATATCAAACGCAAAGCTAAGTAGTCAAGAAGACATAGATCTTTGTATTTTAGGAGGGAGAAATGAATGTGCAGATTCTCTTTTTCCTTTACCTCTCCAGAAAGACTATTGATCACAAACTTGCCTGTTTCAGGCCTTCACAAAACCTAGAATTTAATGCTTTAACAAAATTCCCTCCCCTTGGCTTCATGGACTTTTTCTTGGGTTCTGATGCACATACCTGAGGCATTCATTGGCTTTTATTTTATGCTTTTTAAAATTATGTTAGACATCCAAATCCAGTCTAAGAGAGAGAGAGTTCAATTTGTTTGTTGGTTATTAAGTATGGATAAATAGGACTACTTATATTTTTGCTAAATGATGATGATTATTTAAGTAATTGCACCTGAGTCTAGGTAGCCCTCGTTGGTTAAGAGTAGTCAGAAAAGCTGTAGCACTGCCATGTTCATGGAGTTATGCACAAATAATCATTTTATCCGTGTTCTCACCATATCTGTGCAGAAAACCAACACAAAAATGCAATTCACAAAGAAAATACCCTATTACATCAGAAATGGACAATGGGAAAATAGATCTGAGGAGCTGAACAACAAAGCAAAGCTAGCCTAGACTTGGTTTGGTGTTTGTTTTTGTTTTTGTTTTTACTTACTACCGATACTGGAAATACTGGGGATACCTGGAGAGAAAGAAAACAATAAAGAAAAGTTGTTAGCTACTTATTAGTACATAACATCTTTAACTTAATATAAAAATCTTAGAAACTTGACACTTGATAACATTCAGAGTATTAGGAAATCAGCACACACACAAAATACATGCATATGTATATATGCATATACACATTATACACACACACACACACACACACACACACACAATTTCCAGCAATTGAAACCATTGTGTTTCATTCTAGAACTCCTGGGCTCATCAGAGTTGGGAAGTTAATACTCATTTCAGCATCTGGTCCAAGTAAGCCTTTTGACATCCAACATTTTGTGTTTCCCTATAAGGTTAATGAACATTTGTATGTGGTTCAAACCAGATATTATACCAGGCTTAAGTTATGGGCACAGAGTACCAAATATACACTCTGTGGACCTGTGCAAATATATTCACATATGCAATAGACCATTTAAAATGTGTTATGAGATGCATGTGTTAGCTGTTGAAAATCATTTGGCATTTTATTTGATTAATTCCATATAACCATCATTTTTATTCTTTTACTTGTCAGATATGTGGATTAAACTCTGTAATAGAAACTTAATTGAGCAGAATAATTCAAGAATACATTAGGTTGTGCATATTGATCACGGACTTCATCGATTTTTCAGCTTTCACTTTAATTCACAAGTTGTGCTAAGGTAGGGAAGCCATTTCAGAATATGGCTGGACTTGGTATAAATGTGGACATGAATTTAGTCTGTATCTAACCCAGCAATATAGTGCTGTGACCAATAGTCTGGGCTCAGAAGCCAGGCTCTCTGAGTCTGATGCTTGACTCCAACTCCTAAATTTTCACTGACCACATGACCTTGGGGCAAGTTGTTAATACCCTCAGCAGCTCAGTTTTTTACTTCTTGGGTTGCTGTAAGAGTTATATAAACTGATAGATGTAAAGCACTCAGAGTATTGCTTGACAGGTAGTATGTACTAGGTCCATCTTTGCTATGATCACTATTACTGTTATAGCTCATTCACCAAGCAACAGTATGATAGATGTTGTTAATTAAAAGGCAGAGATTTACATATTCACCATTAATTTGGGTAGCTGTGTGGGTGAGAGCATGCGATGGAAATCAGACAGAACTCAGTGAGAATTCTGCTTTATTACTGCCTTGCTGGGTGATTTTAGGCAAGTCTGCTAACTTCTCTGCACTGTTTCCTCATCTGAAAAAGGGCTAATAAGATCTACTGCATAGTGCTGCCATGAGGATCGAATGAGATAATCCATAAAAATGTCTGACACATGGTATGCGGCCAATAAGCGATAGCTGTTAATGAGATGTTCAGACTGTTCTTCACATCACTGCAGTATAGTAACAGGTGGTGACTGTAAAAATCATTAAGGTTCTATCTTAGTATTTTTCTTTGAACAACAGCCTTTGTTTTATTTTAACTAATCATTTTAGCTTGCTCAGAGATGTCTAGCTTTGTATTCTTTAAAACCAAAAACTATTTTCCTATTTTTTAGTGGGTAGGAGAGAATAAGAAATTAAGACTTACTCTGATTTTTTTAAACCCTGGAAAGAATGAAGTCTTAATTTTAGTTATTAGAAACATAAGAATATCTTGATTTTAAATGCTCAGAATTTGTAGTGCTTCAGCTTAATTAGTGATCAACCAAAACTGGAAATCTAAATTTTCATGTCCGTGTTTTAACTCTACCCTATGAATCTCAAGCTGAATGTGATTTCTGCAAAGGACTGCTGAATTCCTGACCTGACATTTCAGTAGACTACCTTTGCTGCAGTGTGACAGTGACTTGGTACTGAATCTTTATTATTTTTTTCTTTTGCAAATCCTCTGTTGAGTGAGATATGATGGCAGCATCATAATTTTAGTATCAATTGCAGAAGTTCCAAATTTCCCCATGATTGAAAATCCTGCTCCACTGCAAGGCACTGCTTGCCTGTTGTAATCCATCAAAGAGAATGGAAGTTGGGATGGTAGGAGGAAACTTGTCATGTGTTTACAAACTTACATGGTTCTAGAAGGCCACGCATTATGCAAGGCAGAGATCTCGGGGTGTTTGGCACGATACAATGGAGAACAAACCCGCAAGACTGTTTGATGCAGTATTTGCTGCAGCTGAATACTTTAGAAAGATGCAGAAATTTTTTCATTCCTTTGGGGATACCAGTGCAGGGGAGCAATGTTTGTTCCAAGTTTCCAAACCTCACCAAGTGAGGGTATTAGGAGATTCTGTTTTTCTCATGAAGATGTTTTCTATTACCTAACATTGGATGCTTAAAATTCAGGCTGTTCCTCATTTTGTGGCTTACAATTTTTTGAGGTGCTGCCAGATGAGTCATTTTTTCTATTCCTCTGCTGTAAAATGGGAATTGCTTAGAAAAGATTTTTAAACTGCTCATTTGAATAAAGACCTTTGAAGTTGAAAATGTCTGAACACCAAGGGATGTCCACTACTATATTTTAAAATATCATTATTTTTTTCTAATGCTTTGTATTTTAATGTCCAAATACCTTGTTTGTGGTTCTCTACAGATAACTAAAGAATTGAATAAACTCATAAATCCACTAAAAAGGCTACAGGTAAGCCAGGAGAATTTCCTCAAACACTCAAGGGAATAAGACAGAAAGGGCTAGAAATGAACTGCAACAATTTATTTCATGAAAGGTGGGTTGTCTTTGGGGTTTGTGAGGAATGAATCAATGAATGCAGTTCCATCTTACAAGAAACAGTGACTATGTCTACAAGCCACACGAATGAGAGTCAGATTGTGCTTAGGAAAACTGTCTAGGCACCCATTGGCAGTTTTTACCATTCTCTGTGAAGTGACAATTACCATGTAAAGAATATTATTACCTTTGAAACTGAGCTCAGAAGTTATTTCTTTCCTTCCTCCTCCACATCCCTGATGTGAGTTAGCTACTCTCTCCTTTGTGATACCATAGCATTTTGTACAGGCCTCCATGATCAATTTATCAACTTGTTTTTGCATTTTTTAATGTGTTTGCCTGACAGATCTGAGGGTAAAATTTCCCTGTCTTGTTCCCTTCTGTACCTGTTGTATCTGCCTGGGACAATGTCTGATGACATAAAAGTTGCTCAATGTATGTTGGATCAAAAATTTATTACTTATTTCCATGAAAGTTTTTATCATTTTGAAAACATCACTTTTTGGACAAAGGGTGATTTTATCCCCTATAAAATGTCCCACTGAAATTTCTCAGAGTTCAGGATTAATGGATATTAATTATTAATATTAATAATACATATTGTCTTTGAACCCATCCTCCATTCTTATAACAAGAGTTAGGCAATGTACAAATTCCTTTTGCCACTTTGCCCTCCATGAAGCTCAGAGCTCAGTTTGATGCTCAGCTGGGAAAACTATTTAGCATTTAATGTTTGGCCTATTTTCTTTCTATTCTTTTTCTCGGATCTTCTGTTAAAATTCCATTTTTTGATACTCTTATTTGTATTTATCTTTTTTCCTAACACACCCAGGGGGAAGTGCAGACTTTGCGGGACCTAAAATGTGTGCAATTCTGTGATCTCTCTTTAAGAAAAAGAACATAACATTAAAATATAAAATTTTATATATATATATATATATATATATATATATATATATATATATATAATTAAGAAGGAGTTCAGTGAGGGATCCTGAAGTTTAAGCTTCATTAGCTTAAATTCACCTCTGGAACAACCTCAGAACTACTTGGGAAAGATAAAGAGATGACAGGTAAATTAAAAAGAACAGGAGGAAGGAAAGATACTAGATAAATTAATTCAGAAAGAGTGATAAAAAAATGAAAGCTGAATGGGATTTAAGACATCATCTTATTCAGCCCTTTGATGATTTCATAGAAGAGGCATAAAGAGATTCAAGTGCCTTGTCCAAATCCATCCCTTTATAGTCAACATCGGAGCATGTAATCTCTAGTCCCTGTGTGAGATGTTGTTAAATCTAGGCTGAGGAAATGAAGCACAGGTGTGTATGAGTTTTTTGTTTTGTTTTGTCTTTTTGTTTTTTTTCCCGAGACTTATTCTTTGAGTCTTGTTTTGTCACCCGGGCTGGAGAGCAGTGGCTTGATCTTGGCTCACTGCAACCTCTGCCTCCCGGGTTCAAGCGATTCTCCTGCCTCAGCCTCCTGAGTAGCTAGGATTACAGGCACAGGCCAACATGTTTGGCTAATTTTTGTATTTAGTAGAGATGGGGTTTCACTGTATTGGCCAGGCTGGTCTCAAGCTCCTGACCTCAGGTGATCCACCTGTTTCAGCCTCCCAAAGTGCTGGGCTTACCGGTGTGAGCCACCATGCTCGGCCCCAGTGCATGAGTTTTAACAGAAGTTTCTGCAGTTGGTATTCTTTTAATAATAATGCTTCTTCTAGAATAGAAATGTCACTTCAACCACAGAAATACATACGTGTTGAGTAAGCCAAAGGGCCATTATGCTACCATACGCTGAAAAAATGAGAAAGCACTTGTCTTGCAGGTACTTGCAGTTATTCTTTTCTCAATCAGCCCTTCCTTCTCCCACATTTATTTTAATGTTTGTTTTAAAGATACTCTGCTGCAATTAGGGGGATGAGAACCTAGTAGAATTACACAATATAATAATGTGATGTTTTCTTCTTTTTAAATAATTTTACTACTCCCCCAACCAAGTAAATAGCTTAAGGGTAGACAGTTATGCCTAAGGAAGTCAAAATGATGAAGATCTAAAAAATAAATATCCTCCTCTTCAGAAGCCGATTAATACAGTGCTCAAAGCTATAACTCCTTTTGAGAATCAATGGAAGAAGCAGCGGCTTTTCATCAGGAAGGAAGCAGAAGGGATAAGGATTTGGCAAGCCTCAAACTGAGAGGAATAATTACCACTGTTGTGATAGATGGTTTGAAAAACCCATCAAGTAGGTAACTAGATATTCTTATAGCCAGACTGCGGCCGTCAGGAACTCTAACTCCAAAAAAACTTCTT